GCCATCTCCCTGACCCCTAAAACTATTACTTAATGACCCTCTAGATTTCACTGGTATCTGCTATAATGTCTCTATTTTAATCTTCAACTGTATTTTTAACAAAACATTTACTTATTATTATTGTGTGTTCAAGATGCAGGTATGTAGGCACTGAGCCGTGCATGCTTGTGGAGGTCACAGGACAACGTCACAGGTTGTTTCTCTCCTTCAACCTGTACATGGGTTTGTGGGATTGGACTCAGGTCACCATGCTCCTAAGACAAGTGTCTTCACCCGCTGAGGCATCTCAATGGACCTCTAATCGGAGCCTTCTCTTTTTCTGTCTCGGTTAGTTTGGCAATTTGTCAACCTTGTTTACCTTTTCTTTTTTATGTGTGTGCACACATTTGTGTCTGTAAACCCCATGGTGTGTGTGTAGAGGTCAGAGGGAAACTTTGTGTGTTTCACCTTTCACCTTGCTGAGACAGTGTCCTTGTTATTTTTCCACTGCACACACCAGAGCAGTTCACACCAGAGCAGGTGGCCCACAGACTTCTGGGAGTTCCCTGTCTGCCTCCCATCTCTCTGCAGAAGTGCTGGGAATACAGAGGCCGTTTCTATGCATCCAGTGTTTACATGGGTTCTGGGGATTTGAACTCAGGTTCTCACACTTGCATAGCAAACGAGTTATCTCTTCCATCCCCTTGTTTATTTTTTCAAAGAACGAACTCTGTGTCTGACTAGTTTTTTGTCCTGTTCTTTTAGTATCTTTATTATTTTTTCCATCTGTCAATTTTGAGTTTGGCTTATTCTTGTGTTTCTAAGACCTTGTGGCACATCATGAGGTTATTTACTTGAAACCACTCTGATTTTTTGGGGGGACGGTTGGTTTTTTGAGACAGAGTTTCTCTATGGCTTTAGAGGCCTGGAAGTAGCTCCTGTAGACCAGGCTGGCCTCGAACTCACAGATATCTGCCTGCCTTTGCCTCCTGAGTACTGGGATTAAAGACGTGTGCCACCACGGTCCAGCATAACCACTCTGATTTTTAAACGTATGCTCTCTAAATGACCGACATCTCTCTTAGAACTACCTTAGCTGTCTTACAAAAGTTATTCAATGACCAACTGACCATTGTTCAATTTCCATGTGTATGATGATTTCTCTTGCAATTGATTGTGTGTGGGGGGAGGATCCTGGGAAGCCCTAAGTAAGTGAAGCCCTGACTGAATGTGCATTGCTGGCATGGACACCCCCATGTCAAGCACTGAGGCTTCAGACCCATGGGAAATTGGTAAAGCCTTTCCCCATACTGGCAAGGCTCAGAATTGGCAAACTCTTTTTCCTCTGGTCCAAGGACAAGTGTTTATAATTGATCAGTGTGTGCAAAAACTAGCAACTGCAGCTTCCTTCTGCTGGGTGTTTATAGCCTGAGACCGCTGGTCTGCAGAGACTTTCTCCGAGACTAGCAAGCTCCCCCCACACCAAACATGGTGGTAGCAGTTGCAGTTCCGTTAGAGCATACGCCTCACGCCTCACTTGACCTCGGCTTTTCTGTCTGCGTGTCTGTACTTTCTTCATTACCTTCACACCCCTAGTCAGAGTTCTAGGACCAAGATGCACAGTACATGGGAATTGATTGCTACTTTTTCATTTTCTGTGTTTGTGCCTGTGTGAGCACACACGTGTGCAGGTGCATAAATGTGTATATGCCTGGGGAGGTCAGAGGTCACCCTCAGGTGTCATTCCTCAGGAGCTGTCCACCTGGTGCTTTGAGACAGTCTAAAGCTTGTGTTTCACTATAAGTTCATATAGGATTTTCACTGTTAGGTTTCACTATGATAATCTTGTACTGGGTTCTCGCTGGCTTGCTGCTCTGCAGTTCACTGAACTTCTAGATTGATGAGTAGGTTGATGTCTTTCAGTTGTTATCTTTTCAAAATTATCTTTCTCTTCCCTATTATTTCTTCTTCTGGGACTGTGCTTAAATACACAATTGCTTGGTTGCCTTTACTTTCACTCCCTGGCTCTCTCTACCTAATTTGTGTATCATCTATTGATCTGTCACTTACCCTGCTGTTGCACACACAGTGTGCTCTTAAACACACCTACTGCAGCCCTTTATTTTAGACACCATAATGTGCTTTAGAATGTCAAATTTATCTTTGGGGGCTCCATTTGGGGATGATGTATCAACACCTGACAATCCCCAGTGAATCATAGCTCCCCCTACTCAGGTCCTGTGATCTTTCCCACAGTGATCGTGGGTCATCTGCCTTGCTGTGACCAACAGAACTTTAGCAAATACAGCAGAAGTCTGGTAAATGCTGTCGATCGGGGCATACCTTCTTGGACCCAGCCACTGTGGAAGAAGCAAAGGAAGATGACACACTCTTATGGGAATACCAGAAGAACTGTTCAGCTATGAGCAAGAGCACACAGGACTACTTTATTATACTATATCTCAGATCAGGTTTGTAATGTAGCAATAGAAGAGTGGCCTCTTTAAAATGTATTAGGTTATTATAAATTATTATGACGATTATTATTAAGAAAAGGTCTTACTCTCCACCCCAGGCTTGTCTCACACTGGTCTCAAATTCTTGGTGATTCTACCTCTCCCCCTTCAGCCTCCCAAGAGCTGGGATTACAGGCAGGAGCCTCTACTCTCAACTGTTTGGTTTTTGAAATAGGTTCCTGTGTAGTCTAGACTGGCCTTACATTGACGAAATAGCTGAAGCTGACTTTGAACTCTCCACCCTCCTGCTAACACTTCCCAGCTACTGATTACAGACACGCCTGATTTGATGCATTAGTTTAGATTCTCCACCCTTTCTCCCATTTTATCAATATTTTTCTCATTTCCTAAACATGCTTCCTTTGAAGTTGTCTGCTACTCCCAGAAAGTGTGCCTGGAATTGACTTCTGTTTAGTTGTTGATTATTATTATTATTATTATTATTATTATTATTATTATTGATCATGTTTCCTTCCTGTCTTTTTTTAAAAAAAATTTTCAACTTTTTAAAATTTGAATTAGAAACAGGATTGATTTACATGACAATCCCAGTTCCCTTCTCCCTCCCGTCCTCCCATACCACCCCCCAACTAAAACCCTACCTATCACATATCCTTTCTGCTCCCCCTGGATGGTGAGGCCTTCCATAGGGTGTCATCAGAGTCTATCATATCCTTTGGGATAGGGCCTAGGCCCACCCCCGTGTGTCTTGGCTCAGGGAGTATCCCTCTATGTGGAATGGGCTCCCAAAGTCCACACCTATGCTAGGGATAAGTACTGACTACTACAGGAGGTCTCATAGATTTCCGAGGTTTCCTCACAGAAATCCATGTTCCTGGGGTCTGAATCAGTCCCATGCTGGTATCCCAGCTATCAGTCTGGGGACCAAGAGCTCCCCGATGTTCAGGTCAGCTGTTTCTGTGGGTTTCACCAGCCTGGTCTGGACCTCTGTGCTCTTCACTCTTCCTTCTCTGATTCTGTGTTCTAGTTCAGTTCAGTGTTTAGCTGTGGGTGTCTGCTTCTACTTTCACCAGCTGCTGGATGAAGGTTATAGGATGGCATATAAGTCAGTAATCAATCTCATTATCAGGGGAGGGCATTAAAGGTAGCCTCTCCTCTGTTGCTTAGATTGTTAGCTGGTGTCATCTTTGTAGATCTCCAGACATTTCCCTAGTGCCTGATTTCTCTGTAAACCAAAAATGTCTCCCTCTATTTTTTCTGCCTGTCTTATAAATGATGTATGCATACACATATAATTGTTTTATGTGGTGCTGGGGATTGAACCTAGGCCCTTATGCTAGGCAAACACTCTTCCAGTGAACTATATCTTACATATTAAAAATTTTAGGTTGGACATGTGTGTATAAATGGCATCTGTGGTGGATAGTTTTGCATCAGCTTGACACAGCTTGAGTCATCTGGGAGGAGGGAACCTCAACTGAGAAAATGCTTCCATAAGATCTGTCTGGCGGGCATTGGTGGCGCACCCCTTTAATCCCAGCACTCGGGAGGCAGTGGCAGGCAGATCTCTGTGAGTTCGAGCCAGCCTGGTCTCCAGAGTGAGTGCCAGGATAGGCTCCAAAGTATAGGAGGAGAATACAAAGAAATTACATCAATGCAAAAAAAAAAAAAAAAAAATCTGTTTTTAAATGAATTTTTCTGTTAGTGATCAATAGGGGAGAGCCCAGCACATCATGAGTGGTGCCATACCTGGACTGGTGGTCTTGGGATTTATAAGAAAGCAGGCTGAGCAAGCCATGAGAAAACCAGTAAGCAGCTCCTCTCCATGGCTTCTACATCAGCTCCTGCCTCCGGGTTCCTGTGCTTTTTGAGTTTCTGTCCTGACTTATTTGATGATGAACTGTGATGAGGAAATACAAGCAGAATAAATCCTTTCCTCCCCAACTAGCTTTTTGGTCATGGTGTTTCATCACAGCAATAGGAACTCTAACTAAGACAGCATTTAAAATGCTGCACAGACACATCTTCCGTTTGGGGATGGCATAGTTTCTTCTATTAGGCAATTAAATATCTTGTTAATGCATGTCTGAAAAGCAAGGCAGTAGAGAACACTCATGTATTATGCAAGGAAGCTCTCAGGATTTAAAAATAATGATTTTGAAGGCACAGGGGTTATGCTGGCAGTGGGATTACTGAAAACTGATTGAGTCAACCTCTAAAAATGATTATACCTAAACAATTCTAGAAACACAAATGTACATAAGCACACTTCTGTTAGCTGCCCAACGGTTGCTTCATCCCATGCCTCGTGCATTCAAAAAAATCCCACTATTGGCATGAGAGACAGAGGTGTCATCTTACTATTGTGATGGTGGTTATTACAGTTTTGACTTCCCATACCTGAAAATTGCTAGTGCAGATGAGCAGGCTACACAGGGGTCAGCCAGGTGCATTTATTGACTGAGCTCAAGAATCCATGAGCTCAACCTAAGACAACTTTGCCATCTGCATCCTCCAGGCTTCAGGCTTCAGGCTTCAGGGCACTTAAAACATCCATGGCTTTGGCTTCGGTTGGTACTTGGGCTTCACGCAGCACATCTTCCCGTTTGTGCAATAGACATAGACGCTCTCCTTCCTGGAGCAGCGGTGGCGGCACTTGCCATTGAGGTTCCAGCATTTCTGAGCATCACCTGGTACAAAGAAGAGAGAAAGAAGATCGTGTCAGTCCTAGGAAGAGGGTGGCTTCGGACTGGAGGAGGAGGCACAGGTGTGAGCGGCTCTCTGCTTTCCCTTTGATCCCTCCCACTTACTGTTGTTTGTTTTTCCTGACCCCATTTTTTATTTTATTTTATTTTATTTTATTTTTTGTAACCTTTCTTTGACCATGAATCTAGACTAAATGACGGATGATGGAACTTTGAAAACCTGCTTTTAAAGGTCTGTTGTAGTCAGCTTGGGCTACGCAAAACTCTGTCTAAAAAAACTGAAACCAAGAAAGAAACAACAGTTCTGATAGTAGTCAGAACAGGATTCGGCTGCACCAAACAACCGGCTGCAAAGAACATGGGGATGATGTCCATCCAACAAGAGGCTGCCTGAGACAGAGCAGAGGCCCCAGAACCATTTCTTCATGAAGCGCCAGTTCTGCTTCGGCTTAGAGATGCCTTGGTGTCCCTCAGATGAATGAAGTCTTCAGGGCCTGTTTGAATCACAGGCTTCCTTTTGACAAGTCCGACTGAGGCCCACACATGGAGAAGGGAGAGGGCGGCCTTTGTGGAGGAGGAACAGAGTCCCAGCTTCTACACCCTCAGCATTAGCCTTGCCCTTTCTGGGTGTCCCTCAGAACATGAAAGGGGAGCAACAGTCCCGTCTGTCACCAAGAAAAGAAATGATAACAAATGCCTGCAAGAATGGGAGGAAGGGGAGCCCTTGTTCAATGTGGTGGGAGCACAAACCTGTCCCGACCCACAGGACATCAACCTGGGGCAAGAGAGTCAGGGATAGGGAATGGGGTCAAGAGACGCAGAAAGAACGACCACAAGACAGGATTCTGATCAAGTGGCAAACTTTACTTTTCTCACGCTAGCTTATATAGTCAGATATGGGGAGGGGCAGAATGGGTTGTTTGTGCACCAGGTGTTAGTATAGGCAGGATATTAGGAAGACACAAAGAGGATGTTTGGCAGGGTAAAGAGTTCATGAGTAAGAGGTCCAGGGAGGGTTGCCTAGGTGACCGAGCCTGTGGGTGGAGGCCTGGGTCAAGTTGTTTCTTTTCTTGAGCTGAGGTTCTAAGGAGCTGCTATGTTAAGGTTAACTATGTGGCCTGCCAAGCATGGCCTAGGATCTCATGCCAAGCTCTGAGATTCCGCTCCCAACACAAACCTGTACGGCCACCGTGGAAATCAGTATAGAGGCTCCTCAGCAGGTTGACCTGGCACGACCGTAGAGCCCAGATGTTCCATTGCTGGATATACTTAGGTCATTTCCAGCAGTCTGCACTCTCAGAGATGCTTGCACTTCTGTGCCTATTGACACACATTGACTACAGCCAAGATATGGAACAGGCTAGATGTCCACCAACAGATGAATAAAGCCAATGAGGTCCATATGCAAAAGGGATTATATTTAGTGGTAAGAAGAGTGAAATCATGACATTTTCAGGAAAATGATGGAGCTGGAGGTTATTATGTTATATAGACTCAGAAATATTGCCTCTTTCATGTATGGAATTCAGACTTAAATGTATACACGCACATATGTGTAGCTGAATTTTTTTTTTCTGTCCCGCTGGTCCTCCTGGACCTGTTTCTCTCCCACTCAAGGTTCCTGCAGCCACTTATGAAATACCTACTCAGAGGCTAATATTAAATATAATTGTTTGGCCAATGACTCAGGCTTATTACTGGCTAACTCTCTCTTATAAATGAACTCATTTTTACTAATCTGTGTATCATCACGTGGCTGTGGCTTATGGGAAATGCCCTGGCATGTAACTCCTCTGGCAACAACATGGCACCTTCCTGACTCTGCCTTCTTTATTTTTCCATCTTTGTTTGGATTTCCTACCTAGCTATATTCTGCTTGGCCATTGGCTAAATCAGCTTTATTTATTAACCAATAAAAGCAACACATTCACAGCATACAGAAGGACATCCCATATCATCATATGCATGCCATGAAGATAGAACGGGGACCATGAAAAGAGATGTCTAGAGATGGGGACGGGGAACACGAGAGGGTAATGGACTATATGGGAGGACTGTCTGGAGGGGAAGGGGACAGACAAAGGGTAGAGGGAAAGGCAGGGCATAAAGTGGAAGTAAAGACACAAAATATGATATATATGCCTGAAAGTGCAACAGTGAGACCTGTTACTTTGTAGGCCAGCTAAAAAATAATAAAAAAGAATTTAAAAAAGACTAACAGCAGCTATTTTAATCAATGTTAAAAACTTCAGATGGGTCTGAGAAGAGAGAGAAAAAAGAGGACAAAACAAAACCCCACATACCTGCACTGTGCAGGTCTCCAGAGGGGAACCCCTCTTGTCTTTGAACACTCATCTGAACACACATAAGAGGAATGTACCAAAGCCTGGGAAGGAATCACTGACGAGAGCGAGGCAGAGCTGTCCTCAAAACTGGGAATGTTCTGTGTGCTCACCCTACAGAGCAGAAAGGTTATATAAAACCTGCAGTGTGTAGGGGGCCGGAGGTTTAGAGCACCTGGTGCTTTATCTGAGGACTAAGGTTCAGTTCCCGGCACCCACATAGCAGCCCATGACAAACTGTAACTTCAAATCCAGGGGACCCAGCAACCTTCTCAGGTCTCTGCAGACACCAAGTAGACACACCGTGCACAAACATATGCACATGTCAAATACACACAAGATAAAAATAAATACAGAAACTCAGCCAGTCACTGCAGTTCACAGGTATAATTCTTGGGAGTGGAGACAGGAAGATTAGGAGGCAAGTCTCAGCTATATAGTGAGTTCCTAGGCAGCCTAGGCTCTATACAAGACTAAATAAATAAATACATACATACGTAAAATTGAAAATCTCTTCCTCAAAAGATAAGTGAACTTGGAGACACAAAACAGAAACTATTCAAGATGAAGTACAGAGAAAGAATAAAGCCTCACTGACTGGATCGATAAGAGCAGATCAACATGTCAGCAGCTGATGTGCCAAAGGATGAGAGGAGAGAGACAAGAAGAGTGTGTGAAGAAACAGCGTCTGGAAAATCTCAAGTGTGACAAAATCACAAGTAGCCAGAAACCTCAGTTTCCTGATATGACTCCCAAAAGTTATTCTTTGATGTCAATGCCTGCCGTGGTACGGCTATGGAAGATGAAGGGGATGACTTGAGGTGTAGTAAGGTGACCAGCAGGAGGGTTGGGGAACGAGAGGGTAGGAGGGGGTGTGGGAGTGTGAGGATATGAGTGCTGTGGGATGCTGTTCTCTGAAAATAGCAGCCATTACTGTATTTTCTTCCCTAAGGAAAACAGATTATAGTTTGGCTGAATTGGGACCACAAGGACGACTCCTTTCTCCCTTTCCGTTATCAATGATACAATTTCATAGAAAGGATGCAGCAACAGTCTATGCATCCCTGTGTGTTCTGAGATAAGCAGTCAGAACAGCACGGCATCTCTTCCAGGGAGGCAACCAATAAGGATGAAGAAAAAAGGAAGGATGTGGGTGTGGCATCATGGAATCTCTTTTGGGGATGCATGCTCCAGGGGGTGGCCCCAAACTTCAGCCCAGAGGTTACTGAGGAAATGAGAATCTTTGGGGTTCACTGTTCCAGTAGTGTCAGAGGTGAAGGGAGCCACATCCTAAACCTTTCCTCTCTCCTCTTCTGTAGAGGGTGTTTCTGGATCTCTCCCTCAGGTCATGGACCCATGCAAGGACCCCAGCAAGGACCAGCACATGGCAGGCCTGCCAATCACAGCATTCCATCTATCAGGCAGTAGAAACAGACTGAGTCACAGGCATTCCCAGGAACTGACCATTGGAAAATCAGGTGTGGGTAAGTGGTTGTCAATGTGAACCTATGCCATCACCATATATGTGATTTATTTGTTTTTTATTCTACGTGTAAGTATGTATATGTATATGCACCACATGTGTGCAGTGCTCAAGGATGCCAGAAGAGGGCATAGGACTCCCTGGAACTGGAGTAACAAAAGATTGACAGCTACCGTGTGGGTGCTGGGAACCCAACCCAGGTCCTTTGGAAGAGTAGCAAGTGCTCTTAATCACTGAGCCATCTCTCCAGCCCTACCATTACCATCTTAATCAGAGCAGCTATGCAGGAGACCCAGGCTGGGCCTATTGAAGGTCCCTCATAGAGGAAGGGAATGGAGAGGAAACGAGACTCTCATTTCCTCCTGCATACTCTCCCAGCTATGCTTAATTCTGCCCCAGCTGTGCGTTGTCTCTGGAACCATTGGAGTATTGAGGAGGAAGGCTAACTGAAGCAGGACTCCATCTATCCAGCTATGTCCAGGAATGTCATCCATGCTGGCACGAGACATTGGTAGTGCTCCTGTTTTGGGGTCACCTGTGTTCTTGTATGTAACCTCTCACTCATGCTTCCATAATGTAATTCCAGTAGACTGCTTGGTCCCCTAAGCTAGACTTGGGTGGAATCATTACTTTGGTGTGTTGCTGGTGCTCCATTTGGAATGAGTAGATGCTTGTTTACATCTCCTCAGGAAGTGTTCACACAGTGGATGGATACAAGCCAAGTACAATGACATACACATGAGAAGATGTCAGAGCAAACCCATGGATACAATTCCCACTGCAGCAAAGGCAACTGCCATACAGTAGTCAGTTAAAGGGACATTAAAACAATGCATTGTGGGTTGGCAGCCGGTGTAGGTGTGCTGGCTGCTGGAGGGAATCGGGATGCTCACTGTTTTAAGGTTCCTATACTCTCTGTGAATTGGCCAGTTAGCATCAGAAGGCAGAAAGACCAAGAAGGTACAGAGTCTCTTGTTAACATTGGAGCTTACTCAAGATAGACTCAGGGACAGGACAAGAACAATCTACAACCTCCTGCCCTTTGTTCATGAACAACAAAGAGTCAAAATGCTGAGAAACCTGATTTTCTGAAATCAAGACAGTGACTGACACTTTGTATCTGAAATTCTGTCCACCAGGATGGAACACCCCATACTTCCTGAAAGGAATCAGGTTTCCCATTCAGAAAAGCAGCTTTGACCTCTGTCAGGTGCCAAGGGGCAGATGAGAAGTTTTATACAAAATTCTCACTCTTGCTCTCACTCTCTATTTTTCTGTGTGTAGGGAGGGGGGCTGACCTTGAGCTCCTCCCAAGTGCTGGGATCACAAGGTGTGTGCCACCACACTAGGTTTCCTTCTTCCTCTATTTTGTGCTTTCCTCAGAAAGTCAGCCTTGAATTTGTCCTCAGCCTGGACCTGATGTCAGCCCCTTACATACTGCCTGTGGTCCAGCCTTGCTCGGGAACCTCCCAAGCATCATTTATGCTATGCTTAAATCCCACCCTTCATCTCTTCCTCTAGATTCAGTGGTTCTCAACCTCCCTAATGCTTTGACCCGTTAATACAGTTCCTCATGCTACAGTGACCCTCAGCCCTAAGGTTATTTCATTGCTACTTCATAACTGTACTTTTGCTACTGCTATGAATTGTGATGTAAATAGCTGATATGTGACCCCGAAGGAGTCATGATCCACAGGTTGAGAACGTTCTTCACTGGGTGAGCTGTTGCCAACCCCACAGATCCTTGCGTGTACAGTGTCCTTTGCAGCAGGATAACACATCTGACGTGGTGTGATTGCAGGGCTATGTGCGGAGTCTTCTAAAGACGGATGGACATTACACCACAGCTACCAGAATATTTAAAATAAAGTCCATGAATCAAGAAGCCTCCCCTCACCAAGGATGGGACAATTTGAGTTCAGTAAGAGTAGCCAGGTATGGTGGCGGCACTCAGGAGGCAGAGGCAGGTGAGTCTCTGTGAGTTTGAGGGCAGCCTGGTCTACACAGTGAATTCCAGGCCAGCCAGGGCTACACATCAGAGGAACACTGTAAATTCCACTCTGAATGTGCAATCAGCAAATCCCTCATCGTGGGAGGAAACAGGTCAGTGACCAGTTATTTCTAGAGAACTTGCAAAGACGGAGGGATGAAGGTCAGAGAAATATTAAAAGACATATTTTAAAAATAGGATGTCTGTCAGCCAGGGCTACACAGTCAGATCCTGTCTCAAAAATAAAAACAAACAAAAAGGTATCTAGGGATGTAACCTTGGCAATGAGCGTTTCATGAAGAAATGAAAAAAAAATGGTTGCTAAACAAGTCTGGACACTTAGGGGAGGGAAGGAAGCCTGGACACTTAGGGGAGGGAGGGAAGTCTGGACACTTAGGGGAGGGAGGGAAGTCTGAACACTTAGGGGAGGGAGGGAACTGTGGTGGGTAGGGGGGAAGGGTTTGGGGAGCTCAGCTGACTGAGCTATGTGATACTACAAGAACCTGTACTTGGCAATATTTGCTAAGCAGCATATCTGTTTTCTGTATCCGTGGTTCTGCCTTATTTTTACAACAAAGATAAGGAAAAGTCTCATAAAAATGAGATATCATTTAAAGGACTTATTTAGTTTTGTTTTATGTGTATGAGTGTTTTTGTCTGCATGTATGCATGTATACCTCATTTGTACAGTGCCTGAGGAGTTGCAGATGGCTGTGAGCTTCCATGAGATCTGAGTTGGAAAGTCACCATTTTGGCTAGCCTGACTGACTAGTGATTTCCGGGATCTGTTTGTCTCCACCTGCTAACACTGGGGTTATATACAGCTCTGTCTGGCTCTTTATGTGAGAGCTGGGAGTTCAAACTTAGGTCCTCTTGCTTGCACAGGAAGTGTTCTTACCCATGGAAGCATCCCTCTAGCCCTTAAGCATTTTAAAATTATATTTATTCGTTTATTTATTGCTTGTAAAGCCAAGGACAACTTGCAGGATCCAGTCTTCTTTCACTGTGAGGGTCTTGGCAGCAAGTGCCTTGACCCCATGAGTCATTACGCTGTCTCTATTTTTAAGCATTTTTAAATGATGTACATTTCAGCCTCCTTTCATCATGAGACCCTTTGACTGTTAAAAAGTGGAACTAAGTAGAATTTCTGTCCTTTGGGGCACTGGTGAACAATAGTTAGGATGACAGTCAGCAGCTTAATTAAGAGTTGTTTCCGGTCATAGCAAGACCATAATTTCAAGAACCAAAATTTACCAACAAAAGGACTAGGTTTCCACGAAGCCACCTCACTCACTGTATGCTATAGGAGACGAAGGCTGAGGGCGACCAGTATTGATGGCTGCCACTCAAGGCCTCTCATCATCACAACTCATAACAAGAAGGGGAAGAGAAACTCTTCTAATAACTTCTTGGTAACTGTGGTGTTTAAATGCACTCGCGGCAGCAGCAGCAGGAGAAGGCTGCCTGAGAAACACCACTAGCCCTGCTGGCCTGATGAGGATCATCACATCCCAGGGACACACCTTTCTGCTGTTCTGCTGCCAGAGGCCTGCTGGCTAAAGGGTCGGACGGACGGATGGACATTTGGGAGGTGGACGCAGCAAAGCTAAAGCTGCAGGGAGAGAGGACCCGTGGGACCCGGAGCGGGGCCCCTCGGCCCTTATCACCCCAGGCAGTTGCTAGGTCTTTAGGGGAAAGCTCTCAGGGGTGAGAAACAGCTGAGGGAAGTGGCTTCACATCTCTCTCTGTTCCTCTGTGGCACCTTCCAGGAAGCCCCGACACTTTCTTGTGTGGTGGAGACAGGGGAAAGGGAGGAGTGGAGAGAGTTCTAAAGGGCAAGCCCAGTGCAGAAGGCAGCAAGGGAGAGGGTGAGCATCTTAGAGTGGGGGGTAGGTGCCAAGCTCTCCTATCAACACCATCTTAAGTTCCCCCAGGGTCACAGAGACCCATTTCCTGGGCATCACTCAGTCAGCACCCCACATGCCATGTTCAGTTACTGCTTTAACTTCTTCACATCTTCCAGGAGAAAGCAAGGTCCCCACCTCTCCCAGAATGGAAGTTCCTGGGAAAGTGCAGATGAATTACAGTCAATAAGTAGCTATCTGCCCACCCACCTCTTTCAGACAGGGCCTCATTTATCCCAGGCTGGCGGCTGGCCTCAAACTTACTAAGTAGCCCTTGGATTTTTGATCCTTCGGTCTCCATCTCCCAGGGCTTAGGATTACAATCGTGAATCACCAGGTTCAGTTTATGTGTTGTTGGGAACCAAACCCAGAGCTTTCTGCACGCCAGGCAAGCACTCCATCAACTGAGCTGCCTCCCCAGATGTTGGTGCTTTACACCTGCTGTGCTCCCCCCACCCCTTTCTCACACACACACAGACACACGCACGATGTCAAAGCTGTTAGAGAAATGAGCAAGTCATCCGATCCTCTGAACAGTGATGAGGGCTGAGGGCTGTCGGGATCAGAGTCAGACAATGGCACGCCACTTAGATGAAGTGTTTCAGGGTCACTGGAGGGAACTGAGAGGTCAGCTTGCTTAGAAAAATTGTATGTTCTGATTCTGTAAAGTTTGACAGTCTTGGGGTGGACAGAAACTCCGCTAGGTGAGTGGAAGGCGCAGGTAGCTGGTGTGGTGGATAGGAAGGATAGGTTGACCTTCTCTGGCGAAGCCCTCCCATGGCCCTCACCAGGCAACTTCAGGCTGCTTTCTCACCTGTGGCTCTCATCACTCACCCCTGCACTTTGGACTGGTCCCCACAGGCAGCATGCTCTCTCCCTCCTGGGGATACTTACTTATGCTTATTCTAAATCCTTCCCTCCCCATCTCTTCCCCTTCCCCATCCAATTTCAAGTCACTTTCCAGGACTCTACTGACCTCAGGATAGCCAGGCCCCACTCATGTGTACCAAGTTCTCTGGCTTCCCGTTGTCACAGCTTTGGGTATAATGCTATTTAACTGTGTCTGAGGGCCATGCCATTTGCCTCCATAATCCTAGCTCTGGCACAAAGTATGGCACAGAGAGGAGCTGCAAACACGAGCTTCTCGCTCCCATTAAGGTGGCTGTGGCTTTTACTAAGCCTGGAACATTTGGGGGACTATTTTGAAAGAGATCTGCTATTGCCTTCTCTCTGGCTGCTTCTGCCCCCACACTGGCCCTTTGCCCAGCTTGGTAGAGCTGAGCAAGGAGTGGGTGATGAAGAGATACTCAGGATGTTGTTGTTGGTACCTAAGATCCAGCACCTGGCAAGGTGGCTGGGAATGTTGACATTTCCGGCCTAGGCAGTAGCTGGCCCTCCTCGTAGGTTCACTGACAAGGCCAGGGTCCCCCTACCCAACGCCTTCCCTGAGGAGATCTACATTACCTGGGGTGAGCTGGGACAAGAGCAGCAGTGCGGCCAAGGTCAGCAGCAGGAGCTTCATGGTGGTGAAGCTTCGAGTCCAAAGTGGTGGCAAAGTTAGAGGCCGGCTGCAGAAGCCAAGTCTCTTTGGCGGAAGTCCCTCGGATCTCCAGGAGCAGCCCACGGAAACAGCCCTGTACCCCGGGTCTACAGTGTGGAGCCACACCCACCGAGTCCACAGCATCCCTTTGTCTTTTGGATCAGGAGGGTGAGGACAGCCAAAGTCCAAGGCCACACAACACAGCCCTTCCGGGGCCACCTCTGCACCACCTTACCAAGGCACCAAAAGGGGGCGCCACACACACGGATGCTACAGAGCACACATCACTGCTGCTAAAGACAATGGCAGAGAAGAGGAAATGGGTTCCAGGCAGGGCAAGGTCTGTTCTGGAGTGGATAGATACAAGAGGAACAAAAACCCGGGGTGGGGGATGGGAGGGTGGGACGATGGCATGCAAGGTTGTTCCGGGCTCAAGGCTGAGCATCTTCTTCAGGGATTCAAGAACAGATGTTCCTTCCTCCCATTCTAGTTTCATTCATTCTAGTTTCTTTAGTTCCCTTAGCTGAAGTGAGGTGGCTGTCCCTGCAGTTAGTAATACTTTCTCCAGAGTCCTCATTTTTCAACTTTGTAACAAAAGTAAGCAATTTCCTCCATTAACTGTCTCAATTATTTACGTGAATTCTACTTCCTGACTGGACCCTCCTGATACAGAGGTCAAGAGAATCAAGGCATGCATAGACCTTACACGGTAAGATGTGTCTCAACCATCAGTGGGGACAGAAAATATTGAATGAGCTGCCAAAGATTCACACAAAGGTAAATGAAAGTGTGTGGTGTTAAGCGATTGCTTCAGGAATTTTTTACAAGGAAGAGAATAAGAGATAGTCTGGACAGGACCCAGTGACCAGCCCTCAACTCTACCATAGTTAGTGGTCTGCTGCCTCTTATTTCCTGTGACGTTTCCACCCGAGGAGAGCCATTATCAGCATCATGGATTAAGGAATCTATGGTAAAATTAGTCTCAGCTTAATCGTTCCAGGATCTGGAAAAGCAAAGACTTGACAAGGAACAGAGGATACTAGTTAACTTTCCGGGGTGATGGGCCAAGATCTGAAGCTGCCCCAGGCCTGCGATGGAAGATTCTGGCCTGGCCGGCTACTGATGTCTGTTTTCGGCAGTCACAGAGAAGGGGTTAGTAGTGAAGCCGGCTTCTGGGCTTGCTTTGGTCATCAGGACCAGAAGTGGGGAAGGAAAACTGTTATCAAATAGTGAGGACTTGCCTAATCCTGAGGCTTGTCCTGAGGCTTGTCCATCTCTCACTGGTGACAACTTTCAGAGCGTAGAATTTCATCCTAGACAGGACTGGTACCTGACAGCAAGTGCTACAAAATATCACAAAGTAGAATGTTTGAATGTGTGGGACAGGTGGCCCATGAGTTCCTTCTTAGGAACAATGTATTTATTGGATTCTTTTCTTTCTGAGCGCTCTTCCCTGCTTACAGTGCCTGGGTGTGTGAGATAGTTATGCACTGAGGATGACAGCCAAAAGTATTCAGTGACTAGTACTAACTTTCCCTTCTATAAACTTATTCTTAATTTTGCAAAGTATTTTAAAACTTATCCTCTGAAAAGTTCTTGAATATAACATCTCTTGATCTCATTTACTCCCCATCACCCTCTCTCAGCTCCCCCTACACGTTATTTTGGAGACATGGTCTCATGTAGTCAAGGCTGGCCTTGATCTCTCTATGTAGCTGAAGGTGACCCTGAGCTGTGTGTGGTCCTCCTGCTCCTACCTCCTGAGTGCTGGGATGACAGGCATGTTCTATCATGGCTGCCTTTATAAAGCGTCGACTGGGGATTGAACCCATAACCTTGTGTGTGCTAGGCAACCGTTCAAGCAACTGAGCCATGTCCTCAGTCCTTCTACTAACTTAATTTTTATTTTTAAAAAGATTTATTTTTATTTATTTAATTTTATGAGCATTGACTGTTGTTTTGCCTGCATGTATGTTTGTGTGAGGGTGTCAGATCCCCTGGAACTGGAGTTACAGAGAGTTGTGAGCTGTCATGTGGGTGCTGGGAATTGAACCTGGGTCCTCTGAAAGGCAGCCAATGTTCTTAACACTTGAGCCATCCCTACATCCCCTATTTCAATTTTTAATTATGGATGAGTGTATGCATATGTGTGTGCATGTGAGTGCAGGTACACTTGGAGGTCTGAAGAGGGCATCAGATCCCTTGGAGCTGGAGTTGGTTGTACCATATTCATCCTCCACATGGGTACTGTGAACTGAACTCAGTTCCCTAGCAACAGCAGTATGCATTTTCAACTGTTGAGCCATCTCTTCAGTTCTTATGTGATTTTAGATTTTTTTTTTCAATGCTAAACCCAGGGCTTCATGCACATCAGGCAAGTTCTTTACCCCCTGTCACATCACATCCCCAGAAAATTTACTTTTTTATTTTATTTTTTTATAGGTTTCAATATGTTTCACCAAGGATTTGGAGCAGATGAGCCATGGGGGTCCATCTACCCATCAATTTATTTGGTTCTATAGGTGTGGAAAAGTAATTTACAGAAATAAATGAATGCCATAACACAAGGATTTCGGCACCCTAGAAGGGCAGGGTGATTGCATTTTTATCCATGGATTCTTGGGATCAGCCACCCAGTCTCTGAAACCCTTAGACCACGAAGCTTCCATTTGATCCCTGGGTCCCAAATACATGGTGTCACTTTGAAAGCCACACTCCCAAGCATGTCTTTAATCCCAGTACTCAGGGGCCAGAGGCAGGCAGATCTTGAGTTCAAGACCAGACTGCTCTACAGAGTGAGTTCCAGGATAGCCAAGGCTACCCAGAGAAACCCTGTGTTGAATACCAAAACCAAGCAATGAAACAAACAAAAATGCCAGACTCCTGGTCCCACTCCTTGCACACCCATGTGCTGCCGTGCTTGATTCTATGCCTTTGAAAAGCCATCCCAGGATAGGTGTAAGTACGTGGGTTCTCTCAGCTATAAGGGTCAAGTGACCTGGGGAAAGAGGCTGTGTACACACCTCCAGGCACACCTCAGATATCATGGCCTGCTCAAAGACAGTAAGAAAGGCCACTTTCAACCTGATCAGGAATCAAAGAAAACAAGTTCAAATGACAAGAATGTAATTGTTTTCAGTCATTAAATTAGCTGGCATATTATTTTATTAGTAGTCTCAGAAATTAAAAAAAAATATTTTTCCAATTAAGCATATACATTTGTGTGTGAGTGTGGCTTTGTGCACCTGACTGAGTACAGTATTGGAAGAGGCCAGAAGAGGCCTTTGGGTCCCCTGGAGCTGGAGTTCCTGAAGGTTGTGATTTGCCTGATATGAATGCTGAGAACCAAACCTGGGTCCTCTGCAAGGTCGGTGTATGCTCTTAATTTGTAGGATGCTTGCCACTACTCAAATCATGAAATTGTGCTGGGCTAGTGTCCTTACAAGGAGAAGGTGATTTGGATAGAAATACAAGAAAATGTTATGTGATGATAGAGGTGGAGATTGAAGCTGTGCATTTATAAACTGAGGAATGCTAAGGGTCAGCCGGAGCCAGGAGCCAGGAGAGAGGCATACAGCCTGCATTCTCTCTGTGTCTCTGAAGGACCCAACCTTGCTACCATTTTGATTTTGAACTTGTGGCCTCCAGAATAGTGGAGGAGGAAAATATCTGTTTTTACAAACCTCTCCATTGTAGTGTGTTGAAAAGTCCTAGGAAATAAATAGGCCACTATTTTAAGTTTATTACAAAGCCATGATACATCTGTGAAAGTTATCCTCACTGTCACCTTGACTGGATTGAGAAATATCTTTGAATTCACAGAGCACACCTCTGAGTGTGTTACCCTTTCCCCTAGTGAATTTTGCAATTTTAGGGGTCACTTAAACCCCTGTATATATACTTGCATCTTATAAATCTATCTACAACAACTGAATTCTGGGTAAAACAGGCTGCCAAGAAGAGCACATCCCTGGGCTGGAGAGATGGCTCAGAGGTTAAGAGCACTGACGGCTCTTCCAGAGGTCCTGAGTTCAATTCCCAGCAACCACATGGTGGCTCACAACCATCCGTTATAAGATCTGGTGCCCTCTTCTGGTGTGCAGATATACATGGAAGCAGAATGTTGTATACATAATAAATAAAATCTTTAAATAAAAAAAAAAGAAGAGCACATCCCTTTCCTGGAGGTTCCCATGTTGCAGAATATTTGTTCACACTGTGTGAAGATGTCTCTGTGACTGGTTTAATAAAGAGCTGAGTGACTAATAGGTAGACAGGATTTCCCGGAAGAGAGAAAGAGGAGGAGAAATCAAGGCACATGGATTACATGGGAGCGACATTAGGAGACATGGACAAGTTGGATGTATAGAAACGGAGAAGGGATAATGAAGCCACAGAACAAAGGTTAACAGAAGCAAATTTATTTAAGTTTTAAGAGCTAGTTGGGGACAAGCCTAAGCAAGCTTTCATATCTAATAAGAAGTCTCCATGTTGTTATTTGTGATCTGGCAGCTGAGGAAAGAGCTTGCTACATTCCCACCATAGAGAAGGTATGGGGAAGAGGGCGACAGAGAAGGGAGTCATAAACTCCCGTGCCTTCAGGGACAAGCTGGCTCTTTTTCTGAAGAGCGTATTGTGGCTTCCTTGATTGGGTGAATGGGCTCCTGACTGCCCACTCTACTGCCATGACCCATTCGAGTTCTTCTTGTTCTAGAATACAAGGATTGACAGTGCTGCTGAGGGCCAGAAGGAACAGAGGAGCCAGGGACATCAATAGTGCCGTGACTCGGGTCAGTTTTCTTTAAAGATAAGGCAAAAGGAGGTGAATTCCACTTGTTAGTCACTCAACTTGTTAGTCCCCTCTCAGCACCTGACAGGGCCTCTACCCTACTCACTCCTGGCACAAGCATTCTCCTTTCTCTCTCTATGTTTTCGTCTCTGGCTACCTGTAAGCCCGGTCTCATCTCTCCTGCTATGCAGAA